AAGGAGTTGCCTATACGCTGCTATGTCTGAATTTGGCATCCCCTCAAAACTCATATGTAAAATGACGTTGAGCAATATCACCAGCTCCGTCAGAATTGGAAAAGACCTCTCCGAGCCGTTCGCCACAAAACGGGATTTCAGACAGGGCGACTCCCTTTCATGTGACTTCTTTAATCTGATGTTGGAAAAGATAATAAGAGCTGCAGAACTGAACCGCTCAGGAACAATTTACTACAAGAGCGTGCAATTGCTGGCTTATGCCGATGACATCGACATCATCGGTAACAAAAACCGCGAAGTCTGTTCTGCCTTTTCCAAGTTGGATAGGGAAGCAAAGCGCATGGGTCTGGTGGTAAACGAGGACAAGACGAAGTATCTCCTGTCATCAAACAAACAGTCAGCACATTCGCGCCTTGGCACCCACCTCACTGTTGACAGTTACAATTTCGAGAAAGTAGAGAATTTCGTTTACTTGGGAACCAGCATTAACACCGATAATAATGTCAGCATTGAAATCCAACGTAGAATCACTCTTGCCAACAAGTGCTACTTTGGACTGAGTAGGCAATTCAGGAGTAAAGTCCTCTCTCGGCGTACGAAAACCACGCTCTATAAGTAACTCATCATGCCCGTGCTGGTATATGGCGCAGAAGCATGGACAATGACAACATCCGATGAGGCGGCTCTTGGGGTGTTTGAGAGAAAGATTTTGCGGAAGATTTACGGTCCTTTACGCGTTGGCGACGGCGAGTACCGCAGACGATGGAACGATGAGCTGTATGAGCTTTACAACGATATGGACATAGTGCAGCGAATTAAAATACAGCGGCTCCGCTGGCTTGGTCATGTCGTTCGAATGGACACCGACGCTCCAGCTCTGAAAGTATTCAACTCGGAACCCGCTGGTGGTAGCAGAGGAAGAGGGAGGCCCCCACTGCGATGGAAAGATCAGGTGGAGAAGGACTTGGCTTCACTTGGCGTCATTTGGCACAGAGGAGAAACGACTAGCGTGCTTTGCTGAACTCGGCCAAAATCGCTTAGGCGGTTACAGCGCCAAAAAAGAAGAAGAAGAGAATAACACGCCCACCTTTATTTTCTCGGCTATGCTCAGAGTGTGCAGGGTGGTCGAGACAGGTGAAACACCTAAACATTTTTTCGTAATGCTTAAATTTCTCAACAAGCACCGACAGATCCTTCCCAATCTCAGAAAAACCATTTCTGGACTGCCTAAAGAATTTAAAAAAGTCAATTTCGGTTGATCTATATTTTTGACAAGACCAACGAAGACCCTTTCCCTCGTTAATAGCGTCTAATACTCTACCGCTCAAACCAGCACATTTTATATGGGCAATCCCATCGCAGAGCCAGCATGACACATAGGAGTCGCTTTTAACGTGGCAATTGGTGTAAATACACGACATGTTTAAAATTATATTTATTTTTAGGTTTTAGAAGCAAAAAAGCAAAAACGGTAGAAGGACTTGGCTTCACTTGGCGTCATTTGGCACAGAGGAGAAACGACTAGCGTGCTTTGCTGAACTCGGCCAAAATCGCTTAGGCGGTTACAGCGCCAAAAAAGAAGAAGAAGAGAATAACACGCCCACCTTTATTTTCTCGGCTATGCTCAGAGTGTGCAGGGTGGTCGAGACAGGTGAAACACCTAAACATTTTTTCGTAATGCTTAAATTTCTCAACAAGCACCGACAGATCCTTCCCAATCTCAGAAAAACCATTTCTGGACTGCCTAAAGAATTTAAAAAAGTCAATTTCGGTTGATCTATATTTTTGACAAGACCAACGAAGACCCTTTCCCTCGTTAATAGCGTCTAATACTCTACCGCTCAAACCAGCACATTTTATATGGG